GGAACACTCCAAAACTGGACTCTGTGTCCATTAGGGGAGTACAACCCCATCCAGTAAAGGGTTGTAAACTGCCCAGGAGGCTAAACCGCATACTAGCAGGATCTCCATCTTGTCTGGATTAAGCTTCAATTTATTGGCCTTCAACCAGCCCAATACCCTGGCTAGGCACTAGTTCAGGACCTCCACTGCCTCACCTAGATTCAATGTAAAAGTGTGGTATACCTGGGTGTCATGAATGTATGGAAGACTTGACAGCCCTAACCTCCAGAAGATTTCTCCCAGTGGTTTCATGTAGAAGTTAAAAAGAATGGGGGATAAAGAGGAGCCCTGAGGAACTGCATGGCAAAGCTGCCATGGTGCAGAGCCAAAATCCCACAGCAGCACCTTCTGGAATCAGTCTGCCAAGTAGGAGTGGAAGCACTGCAGGGCAGTGCCTGCAACCCCCTACTAAGACAGTCTATCAAGAAGGATACCATGGTTGCTGGTATTGAAAGATGCTGGGAGGACCTGGAGGAAAAACTGGGAACACTCCCTCATCTCCCTCATTGCACAGGTCATCATACAGGGTTACCAAGGCAGTTTCTGTCCCATAACCATGCGTGAAGCCAGACTGAAACAGATCCAGATGGTGAATTTGCTCCAAGAGAGCTTGGAGTTGTGTGGTCAGCACCTGCCTGAGCACCGTGCAAAAGAATGGGATTTTAACCACCAGTTTATAATTGGTTGCCAACTCTGGGTCCAGGTTTTCCCTCTCCAGGATGTGCTCAATCACTGCCTCCTTCAAGGTGGTGGGAACCAGATCCTCCCTAAGAGAGGAATTAACTGCTTCCTGGACACAGGCATACATTCCATCCTTGGCTCTGATGAGCCACCACGAAGTGCAAGGGTCGAGTAAACAAGTGGTAGGCTGGACAATTCCAAGCACCTGTCCAAATCCTTTGGCCATAACAAGTGAAACTCATCCGACAAAGATGGAACAAACATCACTTTGGGCACCTCCCAAAGGACAGCAAGTCAGGAAGAAGATGAGTGTGAAATGATGGAAAAGCAAATGGCCAATGTTTAAGGAAGAAGTGATGACAATGTATGATCTACTTAGCATTGATAATGATATGGTAGTTTTCTGCTGCAACCTTCTTCCTCTTATTCATGTGCCCAGTTTGATTTCTGAGGCAAGAATTCAGATTTTCTTAAAGGCACCTTGCCTACAAAATGTTCCCAGTATTCAGAAATGATTTTAGTGATTGTATCATACAATCAAACCTCCTGCACACCTGCTCAGGCATGAATCCAGCTGAGTGCCACTCAATGACCTCCCAGACAGATTTGTGAAGGATGGCAGCCTCTGTTTCCCTGGAAGTGCTGGTCTCCCTTTTTTAGCGTCCACCCTGGCCCAGGTTCCAAACAGAAGTGTATGCACCTAAAATGATTTCTTTTCAATATTCGTGAAGAGGACTCAGGACATCCAGGGAGGAAATCAGAAACCATCTCCTTCATATAGAACTCAGCCATCCACAAGAACATGGAAGTATCCCTGAGACAAAATGGCAATTGTGAGGCTCTTTCCTCTTTATTGGCCAGCCAGGAAGTATCACCTGCCTCCTCCCAGAAACAGCCTTCAGCATCATCTTCTCAGTTGCTGTCTCATCTCTCCTGGCCAAAACAGTCACTGTAGTGCTGGCCTTCCTGGCCACCAAGCCAGGAAACTGGGCAAGGAACTGGTTAGGGAAGGGTCTGGCCAGCTCCACAGTCACCTCATGCTCCAGTGTGCAAGTTGTCTTCTCCACCATTTGGCTGGGGACCTCTTCCCCATTCCCTGACTCTGACATGCACTCCCAGGCTGGGCAGACAATCCTGCAGTGTAATGAAGGATCTGTGGCCATGGTCTGTGCTGCTCTCAGCTCCATGGGCTTCCTGGCTGCAGTCTGCTTCACGGTGGCCTTCCTGGCCAGGAAGCTGCCCAGAGCATTCAACGAGGCCAAGCTGATCACCTTCAGCATGCTGGTCTTCTGCAGCGTCTGGGTGTCCTTCATGCCCACCTATCTGAACACGAGGGGGAAGTACATGGTTGCCATGCAAATATTCTCCATTTTGGCATCCAGTGCTGGGCTACTTACTGGGCTGCATCTTCCTCCTCAATTGCTACATCATTCTAGTGAGGCCTGACCTGAATATCTTTTTTTTTTTTTTTTGCACATTTTTGACTAAAAGTTTCATTTTTTCTTTCTTTATTTTCATCCCCATAACCTCATCATATTCTTCAATCCGTTGTAAAAGTTTAGGGATTGTTACAAAAGTTTTCTCTGTTATAAAGACCAAATCATTTGTGAATGCTTGCAATT